TTGAAAGTAGACTATGGACTGAACATGTTTGCCACTCAATGCCTCTTTTGCAGACCACAACACCCAAAAGAAGAGAGACAACAAAAGGGAATGCCCTGCCACAGAGGCAGGATGGGAGGGGGCAGTGGGGGGGGGGAGGGATATTATCCATGGTGGTGGAAAATGGGCACTGGTGGAGGGATGGGTATTTGATCATTGCATAACCGAAACCCAAGCACAAAAATTTGTAAACCTACAACTGTACCTCACAGTGTTTCACTAAAAAAAAAAAAAAGAGAAAATTATCACTAATTAGTCTATACCATCTTATCATTATTCACAGATACAGGAAAAAAAACTGTGTGAAAACCAAAACCAGGATCAATGAATAGCTCACTTCCCTTTCAAAATCAAGACACACTTTATGTATTTTATATACACTGCAACTAATGACTTCTGTTCAAAATTAAGCTTGCCACGGGATTAGTGAGAAGAAGGATAGAGAGGCAGAGCATACAAAATTCAGAGTAGCATATGACAGCTACCAAATGTTGGATGTATGTGATTACATATTTGTCAAAATGTAGAGAATGTGTATCAGGAGTAAACAGTACTGATAACAAACGCTTGTTACTGGAATACAAATTAAGAACTCCACATTAGTTGGGAGATCAGGTAGACAGGATGTGACACAAGGGTAGGCAGGGGTATGGTGGGCACCTTGGTGGGGGCGAGTGGGGGTGAGGAAACTGCACACTGAAACATAAATGTCAGCTCCATTGGAAATATGTTATCTTAACTATAATACATGTTTTAAAGAGTAAGCACTGTTGTAAACTACAGGCTTTGCATAGAATAATGTCAATGTAGGTTTTTGATTCTAGTAAATATAGTAATTTAATTGTAGCACTGTCCTCCCGTTGCTCATCGATTTGCTCGAGTGGGCCCAGTAATGTCTCCGTTGTGAGACTTGTTGTTACTGTGTTTGGCATATAGAATATGTCACAGGTAGCCTGCCAGGCTTTGCTGTGTGGGCGGGCGAGATACCCTCGATAGCTTGCTGGGCTCTCCAAGAGGGGTGGAGGAATTGAACTCAGGTCAGCCAAGTTGGCCATGCGCAAGGCCAACGCCCTACCGCTGTGCTATTGCTCTAGCCCCCGTAATTTAATGTGGGCTATTAATAGTGGGGAAGATACTGGGTATGTGTAGGAACAAAATCTATATGAGAAATCTGTACCTTCACATTTTTTAGCCATAAATCTAAAATTTCCCTAAAAGTTTGGGTTGGAGCAAAATATAAAGCAGGTTGGATGCCTGCCTTGCACGGGGTTAGCCAGGTTCAATCCCCAGCACTCTTAAGGTCACCTGAGCACTGCCAGGAATGATCTCTGAGTGCAGAGACAGAAGAAAGCCCTGAGATCACCAACTGTGTAATGCAAAATGAATTACAGGGGATAAAGTAAATGAAATTTTTCTAAAAACAAAATTTATTCACTAAATAGAAAGTTGAGAGAACTTTTTTCTATCAATGAATACATAATTTTAAGTATTTATAAAAATAAGCTTTCTCTATCTGAGAAATAAAAAAATGATTCTCATATTGCCACATTTTAAAAATGCAATACGGGGGCTGGAGCAATAGCACAGCGGGGAGGGCATTTGCCTTGCACACGGCCAACCCGGGTTTGATTCCCAGCATCCCATATGGTCCCCTGAGTGCCACCAGGCATGATTCCTGAGCGCAGAGCCAGGAGTAACCCCTGTGCATCGCTGGGTGTGACCCAAAAAGTGGAAAAAAATGCAATAGAACTTGCACATATTACAAAATGAACATAACCAGGTGGACTGATATGTAATCCAGAATATTTTGTGAAGCAAAGAAATACAGGACAAAGGAACTGTTACGCTTAGACATTTAGCAAATAAGTTATAGTCATCTTTCAACACTGTGTCCTAGTTATATACAGAATATTGGCTCTGGACTTTAACTTGACTCATTCCTGGCAGTGCTCAGGTGACCTTAAGAGTGCTGGGGATTGAACCTGGCTAACCCCGTGCAAGGCAGGCATCCAACCTGCTTTATATTTTGCTCCAACCCAATAATCTGGACTTGAACAGATTATTGTTATTTCCAGTTTATTTTATGAATATAATTTATGTAGAGAAATGCAAACTCAAATAGGAATAAAAGTCTTTTCAGTAATTGTATGTCGGACATGGTATATCATTTATATCTTGTAATCTTTTAACAGTCTAAGATAAAAATAAAATATTTTTATTCATTGAACTCTATTCTTATTCTAATTTTATAGTGAAATAAGATGTGCATTCAATATTATGAGATTCAATATAGCTGAGGATAAGAAAGGTTGCCAGCTCTGTAGACTATGTAAGTTTATAGTTTTGTTATTCAGATTATTTTACATTATTTTGGCATGCATAAATATAATTTCTAAACCTATAAAAACCTTTGAAAAACTGTTTCTTGTACAAATCAAAATATTAACAATAGCCCCTAGATTAGTATTTAAAGTTCTGTGTAGTTGCTTAAAATTTAATATTATCTCTTAACATTAAAAGTTTTTCAGAAAGAACAATGTCCTGAAGAATTTTAGATACAATAAATATAAAACTAATGGTAGATAATAAGATGTACAGTACATGTTATTAAAAACAATTACATATAGAAAGTCCATTTAAAATAAAAATGTGTGTTTGAAACTGCAACCAAAATCATACATTTGCTTCATTTTAAGCATTGGTTAATGGGAAAAGTGATTAAGTTAATAGGAAAAATCTCAGAATACTGCTAGGAAATTCATCAAATCCTATGCTCAGAATTAGATTTAGTGGTCAGACAGACAACTAAACACACCAGTGAATCGAGAAATCTTCATCATGTCTATTAAAGAGCTAACTAATAATAGGATTTGATTAGTTAGAAGACACTAGGCACCAGATAACTGCAGATTCTCTGAAACACATTTTATTTTGTTAGTACTGATCCTGAAATTAAAAAAATAATGCTACTAGAATCAATATACGAGACTATTAGAAATTATTATAAGCTTCATATGCCAAAATGGCATCAATAAATTAACCAAATGATTCTGAGAGTCTACCGGGTACAATACATTCTTTCTGCTCAGAAAACACTATACAAACAGCACCATCATTTCAAAATATTTGAGAAGTAGGATATCGTTATGGAACAGTGGTTCCCACATTAATAGAGGTTATCTATACGTGGTACTTCAATCTGAGGTTCCAATTTCTCCAGCATATCTCTCTAACCAACCATAATTATCGCTGAACTGCCTAAGTTCTGGAGTAGTTATTTAACTCGGTATGACCAACTGCCTAAGTATAGTCAATTCATTGAAAATTCTATTATCTTTATAGAAGATATAATAAATCAACATATCATTTATTGATTTTATATTAACCAGTGTAATTAATTTATGCCATGAAACTTTTGTTTGTTTTTAGGCCGTGCCTTGTAGTGCTCCTAGGCTACTCCTAGCTCAGGGCCTGAAAATTGCTCCCAGCAGCACCTAGGGGACAATGCATTGCTGTACAGCAAACAGAGGTTTCTTGCATACAAAACTTTATCCAGCCCTCTAGATAGCTCTCAATCCCCATAAATCATTTAACTTAAAAAAAAACTCAAGGACAAACTACCCAGAAATTAAACTACAGAATAATAAAGATTTTATTATTTTAAATGGCATATTATGAGTTTATAAAAATATATAAGAAGTTTTTTAAACCATATTTCTCCCTTTATGAGGCTACGATATTAATAAACCATAGCACTGTAGCACTGTTCTCCCATTGTTCATCGATTTGCTTGAGCAGGCACCAGTAACGTCTCCATTGTGAGACTTGTTATTATTTTTAGCATATCAAATATGCCATGGGCACCTTGTCAGGCTCTGTTGTGCGGGCGGGATACTCTCAGTATCTTGCCAGGCTCTCCGAGAGGGACAGAGGAATCAAACCTGGGTTGGCCATGTGCAAGGCAGATGCCCTACTTGCTGTTCTATCGTTCCAGCCCAACTGACTGGAGAATACAAGCTAATAATAATAATAATAATAATAATAATAATAATAATGGAATACTTACGAATCTGAACTGATCCAAAAGCTAAAAAGAAAAAATTAATAAGCCCTACCCAAGCCAGGTGCAAAATGCCAAAATGTCTGTCTATTTCAGACAAAACAGCCCTTTCCTTAATCGTCTGCACTGGTGGAAAAGACAGAAACTCCAGCAAAGGGCATCTGGCTGCAAAGAGATGACAGTTCCAACTAACTCTGAGGCGGGGGATTTGGGGTGGGGGGGGGTCTGGTGGGGGTATCTAGCTGCAGAGAGGAGACAGCCCAGTCAGCCCTGAGTGGGGTGGGAATAAAACATAAAAATCAAAATTTATCATATTTGTATGCTAAAAAGAGGGCATGAATTTCCTGCTGAGAAAAATAAAAGCAGATTGTTCAGGGCTACTTGGACATTGACTGCTCTCTCTCTCTCTTGGCATAGGCTTCACCGTAGGTGATTCCAAAATTAGGACAGATCGATGTTTACATACATGCAAATTTTATCTTAGATTTACTTTTTAAAATTTATTTTGAATACTTTTAACACTTCTAGTATAGGAGATCACAAGATCACTTATTGCATCATACCTTCTTTTCACATAAATTACAACCAGGTTTTCTTAATGTTCTAATTTAGATTCTTAATTTAAATTTTAAAAACTGTATAATGATAAATTCACAGGAATTGCAAATACAGCACAGAGGAAAAGAGCTCCCGTAATTATTTTTCATATAGGGCTGGTTCTGCTGATAACAAATTGATGATCTAAGAATATCTTGATATCCTCAAATTCTACTAAAGTCTGTTTTCAATGCATTTAGAACAAATTAAAAATTTTCCTCTTTCAACACAGAGTGATGTTATGTCACTTCTTTTTACTAAATTACCATATCAAAAATCCACAGAAGTTAAACAACACACTTACCACCTCCACTGATTATATCAGGCTTGGTCTTCATCAATTCACAAAATTGTTTTCGACAATTTTCTGTCCATTCAGTTTGTTTATCAGGCATTTTGGAGTGCAATAAAAAATTCCCAAGATCATTGTCTAGTAAGAGAGGTGAAATATTATAATAAACCAACTAGATACACTGAAAAGAAACATTAATGTCATGTCAACAAAAATTCCAGAAAATACGCTAACTATATGATTTTCAGAGAAAAATGTTTGTATTATAATTCTATCTCTACCAGCGACCATTATTTGTGACATTTTAAAAAATTCATAAAATGGAGCTTGGCTGTGATTCAGTTGTAGAACAACTGCCTTATAAGTATGAAGTGGCCAATCCTATCCACTAACCATTTCATAAGCTAAACACAAGCTCAGATCAATGCTGTGTATAATTCCAGTCACCACACAAAAAGTATGAAATTTCTAACATAGCACAACCAGGTATGTGTGAGCTCTGCAAACAGTATGTACACACCACAATGAAAGCAGGTGAAAAGTAGAAGTAAACCATGTGAAAATCACAATAAAACTTGCACTCCCTCATGAACCAAGAGTGTGTGACCACTACTTATGACAGACGCAACAATAAAATCAAGAAGATAAAGGCAGGTGGAGAATAAAAACACTGTATATTCAAAATGTATTACCAATTTATAATTATAATTCCAGAAAGTTTTATACAAGTGACTCAGTGAATATTTAGTTTAAGAAACAGTGTAGACAAAGATTTCATTATGTGCTGCCACGAATATTGCACCCATTTGTCATGCACTTTCAAGTGAAATTCAATAATTTCTTTTAAGCGTACTGCAGAATATTTCTAGTCAATCATTCCTGTCTTGAAAGCATTTTTACAGAGGTAATGAAGGGTACTAATAGAATCTGAATGGATAAAATATAACAGCTTTCTAAGCAACTTAATTTTTTTTTTTCATTATCAGACTAACACCCAAGAACAGTAGAGACAGGGCTAGGAATATTGCTCCATGGTTGGAAGCTGCCTCATGAGTTGGGGGAGAAGGCAGCTGGAATAGAGAAGGGATCACAAAGTCAGTGATGGTTGGAGGGATAGTTTGTAAACCATGCTACCAAATAAATAAATAAATAAATAAATAAATGTTATACATACAGTTTCATTCTTATAATCTAAAGCTCAGTTTTATATGGTCAGGGGAAAAAAGCTATGGGTCTCATCATACAATTCTGAATGCTATCATATATAAAGTTATATTTAATTATATAAATCATAATTTATGTAAATATTTCTCAATTTGAAATGTCACAAGAGACCTCATTTTAAAGCCATACAGTTTGTTACACGGATGAATGAAAATAGGCCAAATATATACAGACTTGCTCAAATATATACATAAGTCACAAAGAATGTTTTGTTAAAATAATGTGAAATTCTGATATTAGTACTAATCCATGCTCTTTGAAATGTCAAAAATAATTTGACATTTCATAGATCCTGTATCCAAAGCATAAAAATTAAATTGATTAAATCAAAGAAAAATGTTACTTTTTTGTTTGTTTAAGAGCCTACTTGGTGTTGCTCAGGACTTGCTGGCTCTATACTCAGGGATCACTTCTACCAGGCTCAGAAAAATCACATGGAGTGCTGGGAACTGAACCTGGTCTACTGCATGTAAGGCAAATATCCTACCTGCTGTACTACTGCTCCAATCCAGAAAATCATATTTTTAAATAAAAACTCAACATCTTTCCTCTAAACACAAGATGTAAGTTGATAATTTTGTTAAAGTCCATCATTAATGACAGTTTTAATGTTTAAAATATATTTCAAGAAATTAGATAAAATATAATTTAGTAGCATCAAAATTAAATTCTTGTGGCTTCCAGTCAAGTTTTTTATTACCTATTTCCTAAAAAACAAATTACTAGGAGTCCAGTGAGCATCACTAGAGGCACATAACTATAAATGTAAATGCCATTTTTTCTTTCATATTTATTTTCTTCTCTATGTCACCCTTTATACTCAGTATAACCCTGATTTTATAGCTACTGCTACATCATATCTTCTTTGTAATCATATCAATAAGGTAATTATAAATATAAGTCCTTTAGAGAATTTCATATTGCTCTTTCTAAATGACCTTCTATTTATAGGACCTATTACACCTTCCCCCTCCCTCTTTTTCTATTCAACTTCTCGTATTTTCTTGACTCCCTTCTCATTTGCTATTCTACTTTGCTAACTCATCAACTCATTCTAATCTAAAAACAAGGCACCATAATTGCAAACAGAACTGTGACAGCAGATGTGGTTTAAGTACTTGAATCTACCAGTCAATCATGAGAGCAACCCATTGGCCCAGTTCAGAAACATGAAAATAGGATTTGAGGCAATATAGAAATGCTGACCTGGAGGAAGTGTAAATGCAAACTCTGGAGAGACCGCGTGGACCCTACTGTTTATGTTTGTCTAGCCGTCAAAGGGAGTGTGAATCTTTCCATTTTCATTCCTCATAGTGACAACTATTTAGTAATCTGATATACTGTTAATTGAAAAACAGTTCAATCGTTATACTTCATATACTGAGGTGAGGGCTGGAGTGATAGCACAGCAGTAGGGTGTTTGCCTTGCACACAGCCAACATGGCCGACCCGAGTTCGATTCCTCCCCCTCTCGGAGAGCCTGGCAAGCTACCGAGAGTATCTCGCCCGCACAGCACAGCCTGGCAAGCTACCCGTGATGTATTTGATATGCCAAACACAGTAACAACAAAGTCTCCAGTGGAAACGTTACTGGGCCCACTCGAGCAAATCGATGAACAACGGGAGGACAGTGACCAACAGTGACTGGGTTTAAGAAAAAAAAAATACTGCTTTTCTTTTTTCTTTCAAATTTGAAGTTAACTGAGAAGAATGGAGTAGATAAAAAAAAAAAGAGCTCAAATTTCTTACTCAAACTGTCAAAATGACACTATTGCTGGTATCTGCTGTAGCTCACACAGCCTTCTAAAATGTCTTGCCTGAACTGAACACACCAATCTGATCACTTAAAGATGATCAACGGCTCCCGCTCCGGTGGCTGCTCATTAGAATGTGACTTAAAGGAGTTGACTTTGAAATAAGCTTACAATACACTAATCCAGGATTCTCTGTGCTTTTTGTTGCCAAGCATTCAATGCTAATGCTAAATGCGAATGCTAATGCTAATGCTAAAACATTGATCTTCAACCCCACTTTCATAAACACTCTTGATTTGGGGAAGACCACACCTGTCAGTGTCCAGCAGATCATACGTGGTGCCAGAAAGCAAAGCAAGGCCTGCCATATGCAAAGAAGTACCATATCTCTGGTACTATCTTTTCGGTTCTTCTTCAACACTTCACAACTGCAGATAGGTACTTATCCTGCATGACAGGTCAGGAAACAGCAGGTATAATCAGGCAGTAGACCAGTGGCTTTCAGCTTATCTACATCTACGGACCAGTGGTCAATGAATACTATGCTAAATTTTGTCAGAATGGGAAAAAATGCTATGGGTGTTAATGCAGCAAAGGTCTTAAAGATGGAGAATGAAACAAAGGCAAATAAAATAAAGGAATGGCACCATAGCATCATAACCAGCGAATCTGTAATAAATAAAAAGGAAGCACAGAATTAGGAGGTATGGTGCTGCCAGCAGGTCAACCTGTACCTGTGGGGCAAGTGCATCAGCAGCCTGATGGTGCCTTCAGGCTTCCTGATATCCCCAAATAGCCACTGTGCCTATGACCAGACCCCAACAACTTGGGACCAAGTTTACCAAGAAACTTAATTCGCCAAAAAGTTAGGTATGTGGGAGCCAAACCCACAAACCACCTCTGGCTCAGCTATACAAACTCATTTATTGACCTTACTTCAGAGACTCATAGATAAATCTTGAAAGAGATCAAAAGCCACAGTCAATCTCAGACCCATACATGGCTGAACAGACTGGGGTAAGTCAGAGGGGGGTGGGTTGGCCTGGTGGCCCATCTAAGCAGAGCCCCCAGCAGCCACTTGCTTCCACAATCCAAAATTGCCGCCATATCCCCAGCCTCACTCCACCGTCTCATATAGACCTTACCAAATTATAATCTGCTGAAAATTGTGGTATGCGGGTTTTGTGACTGAAATTTCCAAACTTTCTCAGAGTTGGAGTGGGCTACCTTCCCCCACTTCCTAATACACATGGAAACATTGTCAGTCACTCCCATGAACCAACTCCACCACCCTGTAAGCTCTACTGCTGGCCTTAGTTTAGAGACCCCCTAAACACATCTCAAAAGAGATCAAAAACCGCAGAAAATTTTAGACCCATGAATGGCCGGGGTAATTTGGAGGGTGGGGGGGAAGGGTTGGCCTGTGTCCGCCAAACCAGAGCCCCAGGCAGCTACTTGCTTCCACAATCCAAAATCACCGCCATACCCCCAGATTGACTCCAATGTCTCAAGATGGACCTCACCAAAATATATAATGTATATATAATATATATTTTATATAATAATAAATAAATATAATTTATACAATAATTATATACTAATTATAGAATAATTTATACATAAATATATTATATATTATATATAATATACAATAATCTGTTGAAAATTCTGTAATGTGGGTCCTAGCACACTAAGAGCCCTGATCCAGAGACACAGCAAGTCCTGGAACACATCACAGTGGCAGAGATCTCTCTGGACCCTATACAGAGTCAATTTCACCAGGGCACCCCAGATGGAGCAGGTGCAGTCTCCCCGTCTAGTCCAGATGGAATCCCTGTGACCAAGAGCTTCCAACAAGCAAGGTCCAAGGTCCAAATATGCGGATTCCAGGACTGAATCTCCAGGCTACCCCTTCCCGGGTCCCCGCCTACCCAAGAGACTGGCTGTCATGCCCACAATTTGCCTTCGAGTGCCAAATTAGCACACCACAGTCCTGGCCCAGAGACTCCCAACTGAATCCCAAAATGGATTAGTGCCAGGGAATCCAACCAGTTACAATCTAGAAATTTACATTTAAAAACGCGGCTGTACAAGCTCTCATGATATTTAGAATAAGCAATGAAAAATAAATTATCTAGTGCTTGCCCCTAGCACACAGGC